ATGGATAAGCTGTAATATAAAGGTCAGAAGGAACAACAGAGACAGACCTTCAAACATGGGCAAGCAAAATATAAGATCTAGTGTTTACCTCCATGTGGAGAGAATAAAATTATAGTTATGTCATAGAGTCTCACCTCCTCTGTCAGTTTTGTTAGTATCACAGGGAAGAAGAGAAAAGACATTCTAGACTGCATTTTATTCTTTGCTGTTCATTTCTATTTCAGCATTTTTTTTCTGTGTTCAGCTGCTATTTTACACTTTAATATTTTGTTTCATATTATCCCAAATTAGTGAAAAAGCATATCCCTCAGTGAAGATATGATATGTTCCAGGGCATTTAGTGAGTCACATTTTCAGTTACTTCTTATTTACAACATCTCCAGGATGATAACATGAAATAGAGCAGTAACATATATAATCTTATTTGATGTGTGTTTTGATGAACTAAAAATTTGAAATGTGGGTGTCATAAACCAAGTTACAGCATAAGCTAGTATTCATACTACACAAGGAACTCACACTGAACTCTTCTGGAATCCAAGGCTCACTGAGTATATGAAAATATTTAATGTCTTGAAAGAAAATAAGTAACTATTGATATATTTTTAACTGAAGCTGATTTATATGATTTACATAGATTAAAGGCTAATCTGTACTAATTGTCTCTATTTAAGCAAATCAGTGTTTTTCAGTTATATGAGCGGAGAGACCAAACTCTGCTGAAATCAGATACTTCCACAGAGATCAACTATCTGTGTGTTGGACCATACAGTTGAGTCCTTTGTTGTGCCTGGGCTAGTCTGAAGATGATCTGCAGTGACTTGTGCACTTGCTGATGCATAATTCCTTTCTGGATTGCATGGCAAGCTGTTGGCAGTTGCGGGGCTGCAGGTCTTTCCAAAAGGAAAGGGTATAGCCAGTTCCAGCAGGACCCACCTTGGCCATAGCCCAGTACATCATCCCTGTGTTGTCACATGGAAACAAGCTTCACATTGACGGCCTGTACATGTTCAGGTACCCCATAATCAAACCATGAAGCCACAAGGTCCAAGGACTGGTATTAAAAAATTAGATAAACTGAAGTGAAGGAGGTGGGGTCATTCCCTCCTTCTTGCACATGTATTGCTTTATTCCTTATATTGTCAATTATAATTCTACTTTCAGGGAAAGAGAAGGTTACTTTGATGTTAGGAGAAAGTCTCTATTCTTTTTTAAATGCTCATCTGCAGTTAGTGCAGGAACCAGATAACCCTTACCCATATCTAAAGCAAGTCAAACAGTAAAGAAATCTGAAAGCAAATTGAATTCCTGAAATTGAAAACTCTTGACTAATCTGATTTTTGGTGTGTGAAGTCCTAGGTGCACTCATACACACATAGATAACTACACATTTAAATTACTGTGTCGACTTTATCATCACATGTCAGAAGGGTAATTCCTTGTTGTGCTTACACTGGCGATTCATTCTACTGCCTATTCTCAAAAGATTTAATATTTTTTGAATGTGCATTTGTAAAGTTTGGAGGTTTTCCTGCAATTTTTTGCCAGTGCCTTTTGACTTCAGTGCTATATGAAAACACATGTCCATTTAGATGGCTCTCTCAAAAATACATGATTGATACCTGTTCTATCTCTGAATAAGCTATAATCTAGCATGCTGTGATCCACCTCTGTATCAGACTTAGCAATAACATATAGTACAGATAAACCTTAATTGACTTGACACTTCAAACTAAAGAGTTGTAAAATGTGTCTTTGGTTTTTAGTAGCTACGAAAAAAATTGATTTCCAACTAGCAATGGAGTCATGCTTGGTGTCATTAGAGGTCTATATTTCCTGTCTGACAGATTTTAATGCCTCTTTTTTTATTATTATTAATGAGATATAAGGTAAAATTCAGAAAAGTTGTCTCAATGGCTTTGCAATCCAAGTATCACTGAAAGTCAATTTAATACTATATCTTTTGAAAAATGAGCTCACAGGAAACTTGTTTCTGTCTACTTTGCTACCTGCTGGAAAGATGTGCAAGCAAATCTGCTGTCTACTCCTCTGACCAGAAAAAAAACGAATTTAATGACTGTAGCACTTGCCATAGTTTAATAAACATAAAGGTGTTTAAATTAAGGCTTCCTGTGATCTAAGTAGGTTAAGTACAATTAAACAAACTAAAGTAATACTATTCTTCTAGCACCCCAGATGGAAAGCCCCCAAAACTGATTTTCCATATACAAGACCATATGGTGTGTTTTGAAAGCTACCAGACCAGCATTGCTTCTGAGCAGGGACGGCTTAGATTCATCTTGAAGGTGCTTTAAGTGAACACACCTTATCACCAGTCTTCTCTGTTCTTGAAGCGAGGGGCACCAGCCTGAATTATTCTGATAAAGAGAGACGCAGAAATACAGTCTGATGACATAGGGGATCTCTTAAGCAAGACAGTCCTGAGTTGTGTTGCAAGCTGCGCCATTTTTTGCTGAGCTGTTAAATGGGAAAGAAGAACTATTCATGCGGTAAATTGAATCAGGGTAAATTATTAATAAACTATCTTAGTTCTATGCTTCCCTTTGCTTTCTTTGTTTTTTTGTTTGTTTTTTTTTTTGTTTGTTTGGTTTTTTTTTAAATGAGGACTTTTGTCTTCCCTTTATCCCCATAAATCATTTGTAGTAAAAGCTGATTGGCAATTAAACGTTTCAATTCTGCTGTCAGTCTTCTCTGCTTCTTCAGTGTTTCAAAAGTTTGCTGAAATCAACTGTTTTCCTGCCCCTACTCTTTCTCAGTAGGAAAATTGGTTCTCTGATGTTTTATCCCTCATTTCTGGAAATACTATAGAATAACACATCGGTCACTGACATTTTTCACATATTTTTGTAAACAAATGCAGTCCCTCAATTACCTGCATGCTGAGTGGAAATTGCAAAAATGTCGCCTACCTGTATTTTAGGATTTTGAAAACATCACAGACTAAGTTTTTATGTGATGTCTGTACAATGCATTCAAAACCTTGTGGAGGCCATTACAGAGTTTTTGCCTTGATTTTTATCTTCCTCATTCCTTCCTTCTGTGCTAATCCCCCACAATCAAAACGAAATCACAAACAAACAAACAAATCCAAACATCACAACAAAAGAATCTTGAGATAAACAGTAGTAGTCACAAATGTATTATTGTAACAATTGTCTGTATTATTAGAATAAATACAAAGTTAGTAGTCTTAGTGGTACATACTAAGAATTTCACACAGGGATTGAACACAAAATACTGTTTTTCCACAGACTTGAGTTTGGTCTTGAGGTCCCACAAACAGAATTTTAAGAGCTTAAGGTGAGTTAAACATCTTTTGTTTACTCTCTAAAATCAGAACGAGGCAGCCCCTGGGGGTCTAGTGGTAAAGGCGCGGCGCTATCACCGCGGAGACCCAGGTTCGATTCCCGGTCAGGGCCACTCCCGGGCAGGTGGGGCTCGTTAGCCCTTAAAGGCAACCCACCTACGTCCTAAGGACCTCGCTGCCACCGTCCAAGCTCGCTTGGCCCCGGCAGATGAACCTTAGGATTAAAGGGTGGGCTCAGTTCCGCGCACACTGTGTCTCACCTAAAAAATCCAATGCGCAGGCTGGAAGGTGTAAAGACCTTCCTCGGATCTTCGCTCGCGAAGACTGGCCATTATTATTATTATTATTATTATAAAATCAGAACACGTTACTAAATTGCCTGTTGAGGGGAAATCCTGGACAAATATATACTACTAAATGTATACTTAAAGTTAAATTCACATTAAAATCAGTTTCATGTACCCAATCTGTAGACACTTTAAATGCATAATAGCTCTAGTTCTGTCAGGGGGCCGTGGGAGCTGCAGAGCTGCCCCTGAAGGTGCAGCACAGCATTCTTCGGCAGAGATCGCCCCTTCCCCTCCGGACCGCCAGGCCGCTCCTGCGCTCCCTCTCGCTGAGCGCAGCTCCCGCGGGCAGACATTTTAGGCGCGCCGTGTGAGCAGCGGTGCCCGATGGCTGATGCTCTGATCACGTCCTCACGGGGGTGGCTGTCTGGCAGCTCCGCCGCGGGCACGGCCGTCGATGCGGCACCGCTTTAGTGGGGCAGCTCCCGCACCCGCGGCGGGGAAGCCGGGAAGGGAGGGAAGCGACAGCGCTGGGAAGGGCCGGGCAGCGTCGCTGCTTCCGCGGTTCCAGCACCACGGACAGCGCCCGGCAGCGGGGCGGGGAGGTGGGCGGGACAGCCGCGCACGGGCAGCCGCGGAGGCGCGGCGGGCACAGAGCCGCGGCCGCGCGAGCGGACGTGGACACGGACACGGGCGCACGTGCCCGGCCGGCTGTCGGGCGCGCCCCGACAGGGAGAACCGGCGTGCACGGGCCCAGGGCCCACGCAGAGACACGGGCGCGATGAGACGCGCGCGGACACAGAGGCACAAACCCACGTGCGCACTGTCGGGCACGGTCGCGACACCCACGCTCACACCAGGCACTGCAGCACAACCTGTCCCCCACACCCCACTCACACACGCAGTGTCATGCACGCACACACACATACACGCACACAGACAGACACAAAGACACACACACAGACAGACACAAAGACACACACAGAGGCAGACAGAGACACACACAGAGACGCACAAAGACACACACACTCACACAGACAGACAGACACACACACACACTGACACACACTCTCGATTCTTCACGAGCGCCCGCCCCGCCCCCGCCGGCCGCGCGCCTCCCGCCTGGCGACAGCCAATGGCGGCGCGAGCCCGCCGCCGGGAGGCACGGCCACCAATGGGAGCGGCGCGGGCGCGGCCCGGCTGGCCCCGCCTCCCTACTTAAGCCGCCGTTGGCTCAGTGGCGGGAGGAGGGGGGGGCGGGGGCAGAGGTACCGACCAGGAGCGGCAGCGGCGCGCGGCGACCCGCGCACGTGCCCGCCCCGCGCGGCGCGAGGGGCAGGCGGAGGCGGGGCCGGGGGCAGCGCGCCGCGGGAGGGGCGGTGGCACCTGCGGGGCGGGCACCGGCGAGCGGCGGGCGAGGGCGCGCAGCGGAGAGCGCACACCCCGCGCTGCCCGCCCGGCGTGCCGCGGGCATGGAGCAGGACAAGTACCTGCCCCAGCTGATGGCCGAGAAGGACAGCCTGGATCCCTGCTTTGTTCATGCCATGCGCCTGCTGGAAGACGGTGAGGCTCCGCGCCGCGCTCCCCCAGCCGGGGCGCTCCTCTGGCTCCGGCCGTCGCGGGGCGAACGGGGGTCTGCGGGCGGGCGGGCGGCGGCGGCGCAGCCCGATGGCCCGCGGGGGGACCCGGCCGCGGCGGGGCGGTGGAGGGCGGGGAGCTCGGAGCCGCGCCGGACCCCGGGCCCAGGGACCGTCCGGCGGGGCCCCGGCGGCGCCCCCGTGTGCCCCGCTCCCCTCCCGCCCCGCCGCCGGGTCTCACTCGCCGTGCGGCGGCTCTGCCGCGGCGGGTTCGCCTGTGCTGGAAGCGCTCCCCTGGCGCCCGGGCTCGCTTGCACAAAGACAGATGCTGGCGTCTCATTAAACTCGTTATGTCCTGTTTTCCGTGCTGAAGTAATAAGGTTTATATGGTAATACTGTTACGCTGTTAATGCGCCGCTGTTTTAGTTGACTGCGCGATGTCAGGCATTGATTGGATATGGCTTGTCAGTTTCATGGTACTGTTCCATCCAGGACGTGATGATTTTTCTCTTGGTTTCGTACGGCGATCGGAATATGCTCGTCGTAATATTTCGTTATTCGGTGTAATTCGCTCAGCTTTCCCTGCTTTAGTTGGACTAATTCAGCTGGAGGTTCTTCAAAAAGTTTATAATTTAGTCTCTCTTTTAATAACTGCTCAGTACAGTGATTGAGTGCAGGCCTTGTGGTACAGAATTTCAACTTTTGCAGAAGTGTAATTCCCTAAGTTCCCTTTATGCATGTTTTTCTTCTGAGCTTCATGATAGTTATTTTTAAAATCCCTGTTAAACTTGGAACCAAATGTTGAAAAGAAGTAGTAAAGAATGATGCATAAAGCAACCTATCAAGCTCTTAAATGAGACTAAGGCAAAGAAATGCGTGGTTGGGCCCTTGAGAGAGTCACACATTCAAATAAACTCACATTCAGAGGCGGTAAATAATTTCCCAAGTTCTGTTATGATTTAAGGAAAATCATAACTAATTCAAACTTACCATGCTAGCAGTGTCTTTCTCTGTCAGCAGTTTTTATATTGTCTTTCCTTAATGTATGTTCTATTGATTCTGAATGAAGATACTGAGTCCAGGTTTTGTTAGAGTGCCCCTGTTTGATAGCTTGGAAATTCAGTATGAATAGCGATACATTTCGTCATAGCTGCCTTGCTGCTGAAGAGGCAGCCATGCTGCTTTTTACAGTTGTTTTTCTAATAATCATATGGTAAACAAAATCCTTATTTCTTAGAGGGATGTATGTTTTGCACCTTGCAGTTCGGTCTTTTCCCAGAGGGGGGAAGTATCCACTGAGAGTGTGCGTGTGTGCCTGGGAAAGGAGGAAAATGCAGGAAGGACAAAACCGAAAGCGTGCAAAGTTAAGTACAAAAAGGAGAATGAAATAGGTGTTTCTAGGTGTCAAGTTCATGCGGAAATTGCATTTTGGGCAAATGTGTGATTGAATAAATTAATAGTTTTCTCATTTCTTCCTCACATAACTAGGACTATCTATATTTCATCGGATTTTTTTTTAAAGATGAAGGTGAGTTGTCTGAGAGAATGCTAATGTCAGATTCACACCAGGTACTTGGCACTATCCTTCAAAACACCATCTGTCAGGCTTTCTAGAGATTTATTTTAGAGTCTAACATATGATGACTGTTTAAACACTCAGCAAGGTAAGAGTGTAACTACTTAAGAAAACAAGAATTAATGCACTGGTTGCTGGTGGTTGTAAATAGAAAAGAAATGGATAGAATGGGCATAATTTTTTTTTGATGCCAGAAGAACATGGGATCTTGGTGCAAGGATGTCTGTATTAGTGAATTTTTAGGTTATATCCACGACGAAGCAATGTTTCCAGACTCTGTATTTCTGTTGTTTAGAACGTAATGTGTGATGTGTGCGATCAGCTACATCCACAACGATAGCAGCCAGGTGTTATTTTTATGGTATCCTAAGCTTTTTTGATTGCCAGTACATTTTGTGTAAAATGCGTAAATGTAGATATGAAGATTTTTGCTTCAGAGTCCAGAGCCTCAAGCATTCACTCTGAAAGTGCTATGTTGTTTTGTGTTGGTTGCTAGAACCTGAGGTTGAGGAGAGACAGGATGCTGGTTAAACTGCCGAAGGGCAAACAAATAATAAGCATTCCAGAAAAATGGTTTTGATTTGCCACAGTGGATTTACTTGTAAAGGTAAACCCTTCTCCCCTCCATTTTTCCCCAATAATTTTTTTTGTTTGTTTCATTTTGTTCTGTGGGCTTTTTTGTTTGTGTTTACTTAACCTATATTAAAACCAAGAAATTACTTATGATTTTAATATGTAGGTATGTGTCCTGCAGGTTGACCTATGTCAGATGAATACTTGAATCAGTAGCTATTTACCGCTCACCACTGAGGGATGAAGAGAAGTCATCCCTAAGGACTAGTTTACATTAGTCCCTACCTGGGTGTGGTAAAACTCACTGAAAATGGACATTTACTGTAGTAGAGAATTTGAATACTTAGTAAACAACACAAAGAAAGGTGAGGAAAAAGGTGCTAGTGCTGCTTTGATACAAAAAACGAAGGCATAAAACAATTTCTCTAAAAATCACCGAGGGAATCTGTGGTGGATTCTGACTATGAACCCTGTCTCCAAATGACTGATCAAGTGCCTTAATCAGAAGATACTTTATTCCCCCCTGGGTCTTTACCTGTTTCATACAGAAGTAGATCCTTCATGATTATTGCACTGTTAGAAAAGTCGGTTATAAGTCATCTATTAGAAGAACTTGTGAATTGTGAGTGGTTGGTGATATTTGCCTCAGTCTGTTTTTTTCAAACTTTTAGAAAATGAACATACTTATTCTGATAATATAGTCCAGTCAGTAAGGGCAACAAAAGACCTCTTTAGTTGAACTCTAAAGAATACACAAGTCTCCATTTGCTGGAAAGGGCTTTTCTCTATCAAGTGAACTGTTTTGAGTACCAAACAGTTATAAGAGGTGGAAGAGTCCCACTGTCTCATGGAAAGTTTTAAATTATTTTATTGTAAATTGATTACCAGTAATTATTTTCTTAGGTGAGATTGTACTGTTTCTAGTCAGGAGTTATCCTGATGCCCGGTCAGATGGAAAATGTCAAAAGTGAAGAACATGTTTTTGAGCACTGTCTTTTGTACCCAACTTGTGCTGATACTGCGGCAAACTCTGAAGCTCCAGGGAGAACTGAGGGTGCATCTGTTCTGGTGCTGCTTCCTACCCTGGAAGCTAATGGGTTGCTTCTGTGTGTTACTTTTGCCTTATGTAAATATTTATTGTTTTGTGTAAGATGTCTGTGATTATGAATATAAAAATAAGTATGTGACTGTAACTGTGAAGGTGTGGATGACATGGAGAGCTACAATGAGCTGGAACTGTTCGGTAGTTCAAAAGTTGGTTTATATCAGCATTATATTTAGTAACCTGAAGTGCCAGGTAATTGTATGTATACTTTTGTGGACAAGCAAATTATATACATGTGTTTATTTATATTTGTGTGGCTTTGGAATATCTTGTATTATTAAAACCAGCTAAGTCTTTTGTAATATAAACATAAAGGAAAAAGACCTACTGGAAAGAGCTGACCAAAGTAAGAGCATCTCTCCCCATGGAAATATCAGCATTACTTGGGTAATGAGGTAGCTAATTTCTCTCTCTATAATGACAGTACAATTGACCTCAGTATTTCAGCTGACATTCTGAAGGCATTGAGAATCAGGCCTTTAATTTTAATATTAAATCTCTAGATTATTCCACATGGCATTGCATGAGTTTGTTAAACCTCTAGGTTGTGTAAATTAGACTCATGTAGCTCAGCATCATAAAACTCCTTGTAGGATGGGACATAATTATTCAAAAGATTAGCCTTTGCACTCAGTGAGCATTGGTACAGTCTTTCATGCAAACGTGCAGTAGTTGTTCTAACTAGTATAAAACTGTAGATGTAATGCAAATTAATTTTGTCTTATATTCAGCTCATATATTGGCTTTGTGTGGGCTTTGGATTTCTTTGGACTATTGGAAATTCATTTGCTTTTCATATAGGAAGGCAGATTTAGTTCATGTGTGTGTGTTTCCATTAAAATCCTGTGATAATAATAAGGTTGCTTTATGAAAATTATTTGTCTTGGAAGTATAGTATATGATAATCATATCCTTAGCTCTAAATGTGAAAGGCTGTTTTTCAAGCCTATGACCTACTAAAATCAGGCCTCTGATACTTTTAATTTTTATCAAATTTTTCATTGAAAACTACTTGAAAAAACTATGTTTGCAAATGTATTAATTTACTTGTCTAAACAAGCCTTTGGATTAAAATAAGATTAATGTAAAATGTTAATATAAATGCATACATTAATATTAAGCTGTGAAGGGTCACTTCTATGCTTATTGTTTCCTTTTTCCCTGATGTTTACATCAGGTGAGATGAAATCTGTGTTCATAAAATAGTTGGTATTAATCATTGTTTGCTTTGCTGTCTCAAGAAATGCAGTGTAAATAACTGGTAGATTGACTTAGAAAACATACTAATATTTAGAGTGTGTATTTTGGATATCTCGATTTCATTAGAAACTAGATTTATATATTGATTAGTTGGAGCCTTTTCAATAAAAAGTGCAAACTCTAGATGAATACAAGGTACTTATGATTTCTATAAAGTAGTGATGTGCTAGCAGTTCCAGACTTGGTTCAAAGCTCAGTACAGTTAATGGGAATCTTTCTGTTGCATTAGTGGGCTATCAGGCAGTCACTGTAATACAAATATGATATATTGACTGATAGAGCTAATAGGCTTGTAATCATGAAAACTGATAGAATATACTGCGGGTTTTAGAACTGACTGCATTTTGCTTTTTATATTTCTTTTTAAGAGGAATTTTTTTGTCATGATGTGCCAACATATTATGTGTTCATAGCTCAAGGAAGTGCTTTTGTCTTGCAGAATGTAATGCAGATAAATTCCAAGTGATAACTG